GGATTACAGTAAATTAAACTATAATACTTTTTTTCCTTTTTATTAGCTATATTTTTGTGCGCCAAGAATACCAAGAGTGGAGCGCACATATACCGAATTCGAACTTATTACTCATCAGGATCTCTACTAGCCTACCCTCAAATTGAAATCCTTTTAGGCGGGATCAGAGTAAATTAATCTATCAGACCTTGAGCATGGTAGAATACATTAATCAAAAGGGTTTGATATCCTGAATCCAAAACTGTAATTACGGTCAAGAGATGACGGTGCTGTGAGCTAAAAGTTTGTACTTGAAAAATTCAGATCCATTCTGTGAGCCGCTATGCCGCGGCTAATTACATATGTATATTTTAATATAAAATTTTAATATATGCATTTCTCAGTTTGACAGCGCTAACTGTATTTGTATTCCATCTTAAAAAGAATGATCTTATTTGTTACAAAATATGCAAGCATTTTAGCGAATACTTTATCTTATAAAGATATTACAATTTCTTGATGCTCTGATATTCATTGTTCTTCAAAGTTCCAGGCTTCTATCGTTGAGGAAAACCAGATATGGGTCAATTAACTTGTGATATTAATTAAATTACAAATTTGAATTGATTTAAATAAAGCTATTTAATTAACTTATCAAAATTATCCGGCAGGTGCAGTTGAATTAGACTAACAAAAAATATCGATTAATTTTAACATATAAGAAAATGACTGATTTCTGTATTATGTATTGTTTGTTAAGTTGAAATTATGAGGACAGAGAGTTGTCTTCAAATAGTAGGAAGCCACACCCAGAATTGTAGCATAAATTAATTACTGTTTACTGGTTTGTTAATCATAAGACAAACTTTCTTCTGTTAATTGACAATTAATCAATTAATTCTTATTTTCACAATTAAATTAACTTTGCTGTGAAACTTTAATTGATTGAATTAAATGAAGTACATTCAACTAATTGAATTAATCAATTATTAAATAAAATGAACTCATGTCTAAGGCAAACAAAGTCGTGCCATGCAGGCAGTGCACATAGTTTACGCGTTAACACACTTGAGCTCCCACTCACAGTAGGTAAGAACATGGCGCCTATTGTTTAGTTGGCCAAACTCTCTTCACGTACGCTCTGTCCTTTTCCTTTGTTGAGCGCCCTCTTTCACAAAAATTTCTATATAAACAATTTAAAAGCTAACGTACCTTCAATTATCTTTCTCACTTACCAACTGAGGAAGCTTGGTGAAAAAAGTGAAACGTCTTAGTGTGGGGTTTCTTTTCAGATGCCCAAGAAAAGCTGAAGTTTTTTAGAAGTTTATACCTGTTTTTGTTAGTAAAATTGGTAAAATGCACAAAATTAATGAATATATGTATTCATAGTATTAAACTTTATTATTAAATAACAAAAATGTGAAGTTACTCAATAACTACTTTAACATTCACGAAAAGAAAACGAGGAAGATGGTGACATAAAAGATGTGATTATTTTGAAAAACAAAACAAAGACAATTTGATTATTGTTGTAATTGAATTTGAAACCTAACCTTTAACACTACTATCTTTTATAATTATTTTTAATTTTTTTTGTAATGTTGTTCTTTTTTTATACCTATAGTTTCAATAATTACAATGTGAACTTCCTCAAGTTATTTTTAGAACCAGAAATTACTAGCATTAGTACGTGTGCATGCAGTTTGTGTTATATTCTGTTGAAAATTCATCTTTGACGTTTTAGTGTTGAATGTCCATGAGTATCAACAAGTATCTCAGCCAATACAACCTGTATGGATAACAGATGATGATATTAAACAGGTATGATATACACTAAAACCTAACTTACTAAGTATACTAGACTGTAACAGCTTCATGCTACAACAGTGATCCCACGAATGTTTGCTATTTGCTTAGTTCTAAATGGAGCTGATTCGGGAGGTCTGTCAGCAAATCTCTCTGCATGAGAGATTCCTGATGTATGGGCCTCCTACTCATTACTTCCAGAATATAACTTTATATATATGAGTTAATAAACTTGCGGGGACACTCCAGTCGGCTTTTAAAATTAGAGATATTAAACTGGCCTGACGGGTCTCAGTGCTGTTGAACCCTTCGAGGTGAACTTGCAGGGACGCACCGCTTGGCCACTAGAAACAGAGTAAATTAGCTCACCAGGTTTGATGTCTCTTATGTTTTCATTTTCCCTGTGTAGGATGAAATAGAAAAAAAAAATAAACTGTAAGTAAAGTCTCGGTGTAGCTTTGGGTCCATTCCCTATGAAAGATACAGAACCCAAGTTCATAATCGCTCACAATACAAGTAGCACCCTGCAGACTGATAACGCTAAAAACCGGCTTTTGATATGATGAGCACAGTGCAGGTAGCTTTATGTGTGGCTTTGTGCTTAACTACAAACAAATCAACAAATGTTTTCTGGATATTCAAACTATTTTAATGTGATACTTAATTCATACTTCCACCACTGAAATTCAGAATGCCAAAATCATTATTATTAGGATGTTATAGCTTTCAATCGTATTATGTGTTTAAACATTATTATGTTTGTCATATCATGATTTTTCATAGTGATCTTAATGACCTTAGCTAAAATAATTTGGTAAAAATCAACTTTAATGTATTTTTCACTTATCATTTTATTCGTATGTAATTTTTTAATGTGAATAACATGGAAAGTTAGGATTTAAAATGGAATACTATTTCTAAACTCGTTGGTTTCCTGGCCAGTTATATTGATTTATATCATTAATACACCCAGAAGAGTCTTATGTTGGACTGCAGTATACCACTAGCCGCCAAAATCATAACTAAATTAAATAATCACATGCATCTGTACTTGATAGTGTATTATAATCCTACTTTCTTTTCAGATGCAGGAAATGTTTCCTGCCATTGATAGAGAAATCATAAAAACCATGCTTGAATATAAGAGGGGCAACAAAGATGTTGTCATCAATGATCTTCTCGCCATGAGTAATGAGAGTTGAAGAAGATTGGCAAAAAAGTGCTTTACCCAAAAGGAAAGCTCATATCAGCGATGTAAGGTGTTTATTGAAGAAATTATGATGTTCCATTTTACTCCTACAATTGAAATTATTGTTTAAAACTAAAATTGAAAGGTATTTTGATAGAGATCGTGGCTTTTTATATGACCTAAGTTATGATTAATTTCCTCGGTATATCTTCATAACTTGTTTTTAATATATTCATGATAATATAATATAAATTATAGAACATCAAGAAATCTTTTGACGTATCATGGACGTCCTGACTCATAACCTCCCTCAAAAACAGAAAACTAATAATTAAATTCAACCTTAATCCGCTAAATATTTATTAACTCTTTTTCTAAACTCGTGTAAAATTGCATGTCAATTTCTTCCACAGTTATATTATTCTATTGTAGTAATAAAACTGCAACTGGCCCAACTGGATATGTCTGACCTTCCAAAGCTTGGATTTAAAAACTCTTTTTTTTTTAATGTACTAGCAATTAGATGCGAAAAATGTGTATGCATCACTCTAATCAGTTCACTTCATAATTTGGAACGCTTCATTTAGGTCAACCCAGACCCTTCTCTTCTCAAGAGATAACAATTTAAAAGATCTCAACCTATTCTCAGATGACAATCCATTTATCCACGATATCATCCTAATAGTCGTCTTCTGAAATCTCTCCAACAATTCACGAAATACAGGGTCTAAAATCCAAACAATACTCCGCATAAGCTCTAACTAGTACTTAGACAATGTAACAATGGTCTATTTAGACTTATAGTCAATACTCCTGTGTATACCTGTAAGTTACAACCAAAAATCCTGCTTTAACACTTACAATAGAACACTGTCTCGACCACCTAAGAGTTGTAACAAGATCCTTTTCCTCATTGTTAAGAGTATTCTCATCTATATTATATGTGTAATTGAAATTAAGATAACCCAAATTTATAACTTTAAATTTATCATAAATAAACATCATGTGTTTGTCCAACTACTCAACCGATCTAAGTCTCTCTGTAATAACAATGGTCTCAGCACAGATCCCTGAGGCATCTCACTAGTAACATTTGTCCATTTACACTAAACTCTAATAAAAATTTTTGCTTCCACCCGCCCAGACCTGTCGGATTAGGGGTAATTGTTTTCACCAATATTTCATGCAACACCGGATCAAAAGCTTCCTGAAACTTCGAGTAAACCAAATCCGTTCCGTTACCCCATCCGAATAAGAAGTAACGTCCTAAAAAACTGTATAAGATAAGTTAGGAAATCATGCTAAAACTAAACTATTCAAAAACACTGTAAAAAGAAATAACAGTGATCAGAAAATTGTTTTGTGAGTCATGTATTGAAGAAAATACGAACATTTTCAAAAGCTATATATTAAACATTTGTTTGACCTTTCAGCCAAATGATTCTCATCCGGATTTAAAAGTTGATTGTTTTGTATATTCATATTATCGTGTATATAGTATTATAACGTTTTGTTTCTATTTTTCTGATTTGATGTGGTTCTAACTTTGAAAATCTAAAAGATATATAGTAACTTAGGTAAGTTTAGTATATGGAAAACAACTGCTGAACTTTCAAATTCCTTGCTTTTGTTATGTGTTTGTAGCAAGGTATCAGTCACAGATTGTAATCAAGCTCAGTTTATTCATTGCCTTTAAAATCTTAGAATAATAAATTATGCTTTAGGGGCATGTAATATTTAACGACGAGAAGTGACCAGATATTAAGAATAAATTATTATAACCTATTGCAATGGTGAAAATATATTAAAGTACATATATATTAATATTAATTCAAGTTTCACTTTCCGTGAATATTATATTTCCTACAGCAACTTATTTTATTCTTTACATTCTTTTATTCTTTTCTTTTTTATTCTTTATTCTTTCCACTTTATAGCTATTTAAAATTACTTCCTGTTTACAGAAACGGTTTTATAGTTTTCACCACTATCCAGCTCTTCTTATCATCTATGAAACTCATCATTTATTAAACAATGTTACCGAACTAAATACACTCATACTTCTAAATATGAATAATATATAAATTGAAAGTTTATTTTTTCAGTGTAATTTCTGTATTCTTCTTTGCTTGTGAATAAATGTAGTCTCTAAAACTTTACAACATTATAAAATATAGACACTCCACAACTTACCACAGTGCGTTTAAGAAATGACCCGAAACCCCATGGGCTTTATAAGTGTAGCCCAACAAATTACAAACAATGTTTTATTTCAAACCATCAGGTCGGATTTTGAACGTTTTGAGACATACAAATTTTTGATTGTATTAATATATACCTTGTTGATTGTAGTTTATTTTTTCACGTGATGATATGTACAACTGGTTAGATGTACAATATATTTCGAGGCAAGTAATAATATATTTATTTGGTTGAAATACTTTTATTATTTTACCTAATATAAAAAAAGTGCAGAAAGAAATACATAGTAACAAAAGTCTTTCAACTGATTGATAAAATATGTTTGTAAAGTTCTAAAGTTTTATATTTAACTATAAATTTCTTGTTAATGTTTCTTTTCTTTTTCCCTTTTAATGATTAATATAATTTTAAGGTGAAATAAATATGATTGCTAATTTAATTATTTTCTCATAATTTTAAATCCGTGAACAAAACATTTTATGAATTTGTATCTTACCGAAAAATTCCTAAGAGTAACTTACACGGGAATAACGAGGGAAGCATATCTCCCTGCCTATTACATTTCAACAGCAAGTGTTTGTTTTATATTTGGTATAAAATAATCGTCTTGCTTCAACAATATTTTCCCCCCCTCCTCCACCACTTCTGTCACACCAAACATGCTCGCCCTTTTAGCCGTGGGGGAGTTATCGTGTTACGAAAATCCCACTATTCGAGTTGGCGGTGGGACGGCTGGCCCTCGTGTAACTTTGCGCGAAATTTAAAACCAACCAAACCAAACTCTACCATGTTTACATTCAAAAATTAAAATATTACAATAGATGTACTTCTAAGCAATAACCAAACATTCACAATAGCAGGTATATACTGCTCACCACAAAAAAAAACAAAAAAACATACACTACACTACTAAACAACATCATCTTCCACAACAATAAATATATCATTATTATTATAAGCGACGTCAATAGTAAAAACACAATTTTCGGTTGCAGAACCACAAATGCTAATGGAATACATCTACTATAATTTCTGGAAGATTCAGTTACGTACCAACTAAACGATACAACACCAACACATACCAGTGATATACTAGATCTGTGTATGTGTTCACCAACATTAATGAGATTCAGATATCTACCTATTAAATGATACAACACCAACACATACTGGTGACACATATCACTCCAGTAATATACTAGACCTGTGTATGTGTTCACCAACATTAATAAGATTCAGATACCTACTTATTAAACGATACAACACCAACACATACTAGTGACACATATCACTCCAGTGATATACTAGACCTCTATATGTGTTCACCAACATTAATAAGATTCAGATACCTACTTATTAAACGATACAACACCAACACATACTAGTGACACATATCACTCCAGTGATATACTAGACCTCTATATGTGTTCACTAACATTAATAAGATTCAGTTACCTACTTACTAAACGATACAACACCAACACATACCAGTGATATGCTAAACCTGTGTATATGTTCACCAACATTAATAAGATTCAGTTACCTACCTACTAAACGATACAACACACACCAGTGATATACTAGATCTGTGTATATGTTCACCAACATTAATAAGATTCAGATACCTACTTATTAAACGATACAACATCAACACATACCAGTGACACATATCACTTCAGTGATATGCTAGACCTGTTTATATGTTCACCAACATTAATAAGATTCAGTTACCTACATACTAAACGATACAACACATGCCAGTGATATACTAGATCTGTGTATGTGTTCACCAACATTAATAAGATTCAGATATCTACCTATTAGACGATACAACACCAACACATACCAGTGATATGCTAGACCTGTGTATATGTTCACCAACATTAATAAGATTCATTTACCTACCTACTAAACGATACAACACACACCAGTGATATATTAGATCTGTGTATGTGTTCACCAACATTAATAAGATTCAGATATCTACCTATTAAACGATACAACACCAACACATACCAGTGATATGCTAAACCTCATATTTGTACAGTCAGTGAAAAACAATTGACAATGTCAGTCTTCGTGGGAATTCCAAACAAGGAACTGTGAAATTACAATTATGTATTTGAAACGTTTACAGATTATCCATACCTTAAACGTTAAAAGTATTCAGATTTTATGTTGTTGTCAAAATAATATTGGAGTTATTTGTAGCTCCCCAGTGGCACAGCGGTATGTCTGCGGACTTACAACGCTAGAAACCGGGTTTCGATACTCATGGTGGGTAGAGCACAGATAGCGCATTGCATAGCTTTGTGCTTAACTTCAAAACAAACCAAAGTTATTTTTATTCAGAGAGATACCTTAACCATCCCCCTCTTAACCTCATTATCATTTGTAATTTACTTTATAACTCACTACATATCTGAAAGCAAATAAGATGACGACCTGAAGACGGAAGACCTTCGAAACGTCGTCCTCTATGCTCATGTTTTTTACAACAAATACTTGCCGTCCATTCCAGTTTACTCATCACGAATACTCTGCATAAACAATCTATCACGAACAGCTGCCGTTTTATTCTAACTAATCAGAGGTCGATAAGTTAGAAAACCAACAGACATAGATTCACTTCATTAGAAGCAGTTTTCTGTTACTCTCATTTTATTCACACTGGGTAAAGTCAAGGCTAGAAGACAAATACATAAACTGTAGAAATACTAAAATGTCTAAGCATATAAGTCGACAGGAAATGTGCAGTTTAGAAGTAACATTAAAAATCATATTACTAATGAGCCTGTTTGAGAAGAAGCAAGTTTTATTTGACAACTGAAAAAGGTTAATAATTACAAGAAGTAATAAGAACCATATCAGATTTCTAATTACACTTTAATAAATGTATGAGGAAAAAAGGTCGGAGACACTAAACCATTTTGAACTCTAGGTTTCTGGTTTAGAGAAATGAATTAACTAAAACAGCGAAGTCTTCGTAAAGTTTAATGCTATATTAATTCAGCAGATATTTGTGTAGCGTCTTCATAGGTCGCATTCAGCGTTAATAACTTTTTGTTGATGTTTATTTCATAATAAACTGCCCCCCTCATTGGCACAGCGGTGTATCTGCGGATTTATAACGGTAGATAACCCATTGTGTAGCTTTGTGCTTAACTACAAACATAATAAACAGCATCTATAACATCTAATGTTGCAGAAAGTATATATATACAAATTTGTTTTCTAGATATTTTTCGATTGCGAATTTATTGGATATTTTCTCTCAACTATGAATCCTACAACAATAAAGAACCTCTGTTATCTTATAAAACACGTATCAACTCCTGTGGCATACGAGTTATAAATCAACAACGCCTGGATAACTTAGTTGATGTAAGTCATATGGGGGAAAGACTCAATGGATGGACTCAATAGTCCATCAATTTCTTTATCAAGAAGACTCAGGATCGAACCCCAGTCACTACCACCACAAGAAATACTTCTTCTCAGGGCTTCTGTGAAGACGGTAGCAGGTTTTCAACTAAAACTAGTTAAGAGATTAGTAGTAACTTATGAAAAATTAAATAATTAGGCTCAGGTGATTGTGTCGGCTTCCAACCATGACAACGATTGATACCCGATCCCGTAAGTGCTTAAATATGAACACATTATACACCCATTCTTCGCTAGCTTATTTACTTGTCATTACATTATAACATTTCTTAGATGAAGTAATAATGTTATGATTTTCAATTGATTGTATTCACGACAATTTATATATATATAGGTATACAATGTCCAAATACAATAATAGACCATCTGTTAAAATCATTTGGTTTGAAAAAATATATATGGGTGACATATAAAAATTCAAGAAAAAGTGTTATTCATATTTACTTACAGCTTTTCGTTCCTCAGACCATATTGTCACTTAGTGTTAATACATATTAATAGAGGGAATGCAAGTAGCCCAACAAAACTGTATAACTAAGATATCGTAATGAAGATAATATATAATTCTCAACCTAGCACATATATAAATATGCGTGTGTGTGTAAATATAATAAAAAAAATTCCCAGAGTTCTTTTTAAATTGTATTTATCGATTTCGTAATTTCTTTTGTTACTCTTCAAAATTAAATGTTTAATAAAACTAAGTAACTTGTATAAAATTCATGGATATAAAATACACAACATGTAAGTTTCAGTTTTATCAAAATAATTAATTTGGACGAGTTATTAGAGATGTTGCGAAACTTGTTAATAAAATTATGATGGCCTATGCAAATTTTGTGTTTTAATATTGAACGATTCTTTGAAGCAATGATTAAAGTGAAGCAGTAAGCGCCGGTAAGAAATAAAATGGCTGTGAGACATGTTGGTAATTTTTTTTTAATTCAAAAAAATTTACACTGCTGCAAATCATCCTACCTGCGTCTCTTTGGTTGCATACAAAAATGCATTTGGTTTAGTGTCTTTGCCATTATATCGCGAATACTTGCAACCTCGGGTCACTGCCCTTACTCTCCAAAAACACCAACATGCCTCAACCCCAGATATGTTCATACGGGCTCTTTTTCAAACCACTTTAAACACTACTTCAAAGTGGTTCCAACTTATTTCGTGTTTGTGTGTTCCAGGATTGTAACACATACATTTCCTAGCTTGGCTTTTGTTGGGTTATCACCAATCTGTGATAAGCCACGTACATTTTCCATTGTTTCTGGATTATCGCCATTTTGTGATAAGCTCTGCTTTGGATCAACTTGTTGACATGTACTCCAAGGAAGTTATTACTTAAGTGGCATCCTAGCAGATAAAAGATGCTCGTTATCTCTTTATTTATGTAAAATACTATTGTCGTCAGTAATACAAAACTGCATGAAACATTTGAACATAACGATCTTACAGTAACTATCAATGTCAAAAATTATTAATAAAGACGTTCAATGTTATTAGCTATGTTGTTTTAATTAACCAAGTGATGTTTCACTTTCATGACCTTCATGCAACAAACCAACTACAGAATCCACGAAAAATAAAAATAGTGACAGCAAAATAAAGTTATTTTTTCAAAACGATAGAAATAAGGCACAAGATTGCAGGCCCGCCATATCCAGATGGCAATCGACTCACAATCTGAGGGTCGCGGGTTCGAATCCCCGTCACACCAAACATGCTCGCCCTTTCAGCGGTGGGGGCGTTATAATGTGACGGTCAATCCCACTATTCGTTGGTAAAAGAGTAGCCCAAGAGTTGGCAGTGGGTGGTGATGCTGCCTTCCCTCTAGTCTTACACTGCTAAATTAGGGACGGCTAGCGCAGATAATCCTCG